TTATTTTTTATTATTTCAAAATATTATGGGGGTACAAATGTTTTTGGTTACATGGATCACTTTTGTTATGCTCGTGTTAGGGTTATAAGTATGCGTATCACCCAGATAGTGTTCATTGTACCATTAGGTAGATTTTCGCCCATCCCCCCTCATCTTTCCCCCTGCTTGATTTCCACTGAGTTTTACTTCCTTATGTGCACATGTGTGCTCATTGGTTTGTTCTGATTTAACAGTGAGTACATGTAGTGTTTGTTTTTCCATTCTTTAGATACTTCACTTAGGATCATGGTCTTTAGTTCCATCCAAATTGTTGCAAAAGGCTTTAATTCATCCTTCTTCATAGCTGAGTAGTATTCCGTAGTATACGTATAGCACATTTTATTAATCTACTCATGAATTGATGGGCTCTTGGATTGATTCCACATCTTTGCAATTGTGAATTGTTCTGCAATAAACATTTGAGTGCAGGTGTCTTTTTGATAAAATGACTTCTTTTCCTTTGGGTAAATACCCAGTAGTGGGATTGCTGGATCAAATGGTGAGTCTACTTTTAGTTTTTTGAGGAATCTCCATACTGTTTTCCATAGAGGTTTTACTAATTTGCAGTCCCACCATCAGTATAGAATCATTCCTTTCTCTCTGCATCCATGCCTATGCTTCGTTTGGAACCAGAAAAGAGCCTGAATTGCCAAAGCAACCTTAAGCAAAAGGAATAAATCTGGAGGCATCACTTTACCAGACTTTAAGCTATACTACAAAGCTATTGGAACCAAAACAACATGATACTGGCACAAAAATAGAGACATAGACCAGTGGAACAGAACAGAGAACCCGGATATAAAACCATCCACATACAGCCAGCTGATTCTTTGACAAAGCAGACAGCAATACACACTGGGGAAAAGAAGCCCTATTCAATAAATGGTGCTGGGAGAATTGGAGAGCCATATGCAGAAGAATGAAACAGGATCCATATCTCTCACCACTCACAAAAATTAATGCAAGATGGATAAAAGACTTAAATGTAAGGCATGAAACCATAAGAATGGTAGAAGAAAATGTTGGAAAAACTCTTCTAGATATCAGCCTAGGCAAAGAATTTATGAAGAAGACCCCAATGGCAATCACAGCAACAACAAAGATAAATAAATGGGACTTGGTTAAATTAAAAAGCTTCTGCACAGCTAAGGAAATAATCAACAGAGCAAA